TTTGAGTAAATGTTGAGTATCATGAAAGTGTGCCAGTTAATAAGAGGCTGGGATCAGTTTCATGGTCCTGACCTGCTGAGAACCATCAGTAACCACCACTTTGGCATGTGGGCCCTGACTTCCACAAATGCCTCATGCAATCTGTATTTTAAAAAGGAGAAGAAAACACAAGTAGCTGTGCAACTAAGTTATGCAACTAAGAATGTATTCAGTTGTCTTGCTAGTTTGCAAGTGGGTGGGGGTCGGGGGGGCATTCCTGAAGCACCTGCTATGCTGTCTGCTACCCTCTCCCTGTGAGGAAGCTACTACCAGCACCATTTATAGATGAGACTAGGAAGGTACACAGAAGGATGAAAAAGTCTTGCCTGTGCAGCCAAAATTCCACTCTCGTTTGCCTTTGTCCAAAATCCCTGTTCTTTCTACCACTCCCATGCTGCTGTGATCCCAGATGGTCTCTGGGAATGAATGTGATAGTTTAAAAAGTTTTTCAGAAAAAATACCAACAGTATTCTCCAAAGCAAGCCTCATGTTTTATCTCCTCCTTGCCCTCTACAATATTTAGTGTCATTATGAGAAAAAGTGAAGCAACAGGTGTTCTGATCTGGTCCTATCTCTGTCAATCGACTAGTCAAGGAGAACAGCTACAGAAGAAAAACAGAATAAAGAAACTGCTTTATGTTAAAAATGATGATTGTCACAACTACCTTTAAGTAAGTTCTGAATAAGAATTCCTGGTGATTTTAGTTATAGTGTCAATTCCAGAGTCACAACACAGTCCCTCAGACATGATCTAAATCCTGACCACTGTTAATTAAGTAACTAAGTAACTATATGACCAGAGGCACCCAACCTCCTTAATCTTGTTCCCTCTTTGATAAAAAGTATGGTGTTGACCCACATGACCTGTAAGGTAGATAAATGCTGCTTAGACTTTTCTGGATCAGGAAACCCTTTTGAAAATTTGATGAGTATGGCCTCTCTGCAGAATTATGCAGAAGACCAAAGACCTACAACACTCTGCATACAATTTTAGAGTTCATCCATGAGCCCAGCCCACATCCACACAACCTCTGCTCTGGAGTCTTCCCCAGACAACACAAGTCTCTTCCCTGTTCCAAATCACATGGGTTAGGTATTGCAGTGTTTTACATTTAACAAATATGTAACTGTGACATTAAAAGGGACAATTGCAAAATGACAGCAAATATACGCAGTGCCTCAAACAGTGCTGGCACATAGTAAGTGCTTAACAAATATTTGTAAAGTGAATCAAAGTATTTAAATACATGTTCATCACATTTTTTAAAAGGCCATACAACTTTTTGCCAGTTCTCTAATTCTAAGTCTTTCAGGTAAATGTACTTAAATATTCCCTTTGGCCAAATTTAATGGAATTTATCTTTAAATTAATTGAAATATCTAAAGTTTTTATTACTACTGAACTACTGAAGAAATACTGGCCTTTCTTAGGTCATTTCAAATTTCTTTGCTCAATAGCTGTACTCTTATAAGTATGCTAATATTTAAAAAAAGAACAAAAACGGGTGTTGAAAATTAGAAAACAGTTAAATCTTAATTTTAAAAGACAAATATAAAAAATTTTAAAAGGCATAGCAAAACCACTAAAAATTTACTAGCTTTAACATTCATCTCTTTCAGAAACAAGAAACTTAAAAGTAGTGTACATATTTTCATTCTGTTCTTAGTACTTCCGTTTTCTACATTTGACATTAAAACAGTTTGCACCTATTAAGGCTCATCTGTTTTCCTAGCATAAAAACTTATAATTGCAAACTGAATAATTTTGTCACTAAAAGTAAACAAGCATGAACTACCTATCAACCAGTTTTTGGTTCACCAATAAAAATCCATACACATCCACATTCCCTCTGGATCTACCTAAGTCTCTGATTTCTGCACTTGATATAAACATTATGTTCAACATAGAAAGAAGAACAGGAAAAAACAACAAGTCTTAGTCTTACTTATGGCCAAGGTTCAGTTTGGTCCAAGAACCCCTGAGAGCCCCAGAGACCCTCACAAATCTCATATCGGCAGATTTTCTTCCTAAACTTCAACCACAACAATGTATCACAACAGATCAAATGCAGAAACTAATAGGAATCCAGCTATCCCTTTTTAAGCCAGGCATTAAAGATGCTTACGAACATGAAAAACAACGCCACTCTTCCCATTAAATTTTTCTTTTGAAAAAGTTATTTTTCATTATTAATGTTATTTACGTGAACACTTAAATTAAGTAGCTCTTTAAGTGATTTTAAAATTTGTTTTATTCTAAAATATACTACCTAGATAAACAAGTTCTTTGGGGTCCTCAATAATTTTAATTCAGAGGTGTAAAGATCCTGAGCCATAAGGTTTGAAACCAACTGCCCTTAACCCCTGGTTGGGTGGAAAAATACAGCAGTACAGAGGAATCGATCGACTTTATCTGCCGAGTAAAATTAGACTTCATAATGCAAACCACTTTATTAAACAGATGAGCACTATAATATTTTAGGCACTAATAGTACACATCATCTCATTACCCATTGCTTCTCATATTCAATTTTACACAAAATTTGAAGAGCTACTTAATTATATGTAACTGCAGCAAAATCCCACTTATATGGACAGTGAACAATTTAATTCCTCTCTGCAGACTGAACTCATGTTTAGGTCACAATTAGTGTAGTTTTCCCATTTCACATCATCACCGCCCAAGAGTTTTCTGCACTAATTAGGCAGAAAACACAGTATACCTACTTATTCTGAAAATACTCATTGAAACAATCATTAAAACTCGTCAAAATCTGATATGAAAAGGAATACATAAGTCCCCATTTATTTTATTGTTTTATGGATTGATTTAGGCAATGCATCCACATTTTAACTGGAAAGATTACTGACTGCTAACTCTGACATGTGGACTTAAAAGCAATCCACAGCTGCCTGAAACCCAACTATTGTGTACCTCTTTAAGGCACAATTAATCACTCTCCCACCCCCCTCCCCCTCCCCAATAAATTAAGTACATGCATATATTTTTCAGCCAAAAATAAAAATAAGAGGTTATTAGAGACTTTCAGAAATAAAGACACACACATGAAAATCACTCCTAACAGTTTAAGCATGCAAACCTCTACTCGTTCTTGCCCTGGCATTTCAGAGAGGCACATACCACGTGGTATCACCTCCACCACTGTGATACCAACGTGCTGTGTGAGACTTTTGCTAAAACTTTATGGTCTTCTGTCATCCTTCATTATTTCTGTCACCTCTGCTCAATTCTCTGAGACAGGGCTTGTGCTGCATGCCTACACATGTAACTGCAGATATACATCCTATATGACCTTATATACAGTAAGCACTCAATGAATGTACAGCCATTTAAGGTCAAACAGTAGTACCAAGGAAAAAAAGTTAAATTGGAAACGAAGTCCCAAAGCTAGAGTAAATTCAATAAATTAAATGCATGCAGTAGCCTAAAGGACATGGGCATTTCCCCTCATATCTTCTTCTGCCGTCTCCTTTCTGGTCCAGAGTTAGGCTTTTATTTATTTATTTATTTTTGGTCTTTTTTCGTGACCGGTAAGGGGATGGCAACCCTTGGTGTGGTGTCGCCCACACCGCGCTCAGCCAGTGAGCACACCAGTCATTCCTATATAGGATCCGAACCCGCGGCGAGAGCGTCGCTGCGCTCCCAGCGCCACACTCTCCTGAGTGCGCCACAGGCTCAGCCCAAGTTAGGCTTTTTAATTTGACACTATTCTGAATGAACATGGCAGAAAAGATGATGATCTACAGGGACACTGAAATGGCAGAACATGAAGGTCACCTCCATAAGTCAAAGCCAGTTTACTTACATTTGGTACTTTGTGTGTAGGATGTTTTATTTCCTAGTTATAATATTGTCCCCTCCCCCCCCCAACATATTCCAGAGAAAACTTATGACACAAATTTAAAAACTAGCTACCCCTTCCTTTAATCATTTAACCATGCCTCCAAACACATCTTGATACATGACATATACTGAGATCTGTCTCAAAGAAATTTTTTAAAGTAGCTACTATTCTACACAGAGGAGTTAAGAAAAACCTAAACTTTTCAAACTGAAAAAAACATTATCTTTCCCCCAAACTCATAAGAAAAAAAGTATCAGCATGATTTAAAATTCAGTATCCCATTTTTTACCATATTAAAGATGGTCAAAATGCTGCTATGTTCAGAAAGAAGGAAAAGAGTTAAAAACTGTAGGTTACCCTAGCCAAAAGGGGGACACATTTGAGACACATTTTAGATACAGGTCTCCCTATGATCTGGCAGATGCATGTACGGATCAAACATGCATCATATGAAATGGGTACGATTTAGCCTGGTGAAAAGATGAACTCTGTAAGCACATAGCCCGGTCTGCTGAATTTCCTTGTTTTTAAGAACTTAATCCTATGCTCAGTTCTTGCATCTAAAATAAATTTAAGTTCAAGTTCACACTCCAAGAACAACTACGCAAAGAAAACCAGATATGGAAACCTCGCAACTAAGATGCATCTGCAGAGGATAACGAATGGTTTACACAGAAATAACATACTACTAACCAACTTCACATACAGATTGTGATCTCTTGCCTTTAAAACTGATTTAAAATAAAAACGAACACTCTTAAACTACAGGCAACCAGGACGCAGAATGCAACAATCAACATTTTCTAAGGGGGTCTGGGGCACATACAGTTCAAAGTGGATCTCTAAGTGAGTAACCACGGCAAACAGCTTTGCCTCCCAATCATGCCCCTCTCATCTAAACAGGTTTTGTAAAAAAGACAAGGGGGGGGAACAGCCATAGGAGAAAAAAAAAATAGTGCAGGAATAAAACCACATCACTGAGAGAGACAGGGAGAGTACGTGTGTCTGTCTGTGCCTGTGAATAAAGAAAGGCAGCGTGGGGAGGCACTTTTGCAAGGGGACCGTGTTATGTGCAGCAGGCGTTTGAGTACTTACTGTGCCCGGCTCTCTGTCTGCTCCCGAGGTTACCAAGAAACGCACAGACATGCCCGTTCAGACACAGAGGCAAGAACAGAAATAAAAAAAAGGGGGGAATAATTAGAACACAAGCCCCAAACAGTTTTAAAAATGGCTTTTATTTATATAAGTCATTGCACATTCCTAATACAGTGATTTCCTGAAAATTACAGTATTTTGTAAACATAAGATTTACAGTTTAACCATACACAAAAGCCTATTTTTTTTTATTTCTTGACAGAATAAATTACTTTTCTTCAAAAAATTAGTCAAGTGCAATTTGCCCAATATTTAATGCATACTAGAATTAAAGCCTATGAAACTAAGTAGTAACAGATGCAATTATCAAACCTTTCATTTGAACACATTCACTTTCAAATTTAACTTCTTATTTCGCCCCATTTAACATCATTACTTTCTTTGAAAATAACCCAATTAAGCAGTTAACAGTTTTCCATAATACGGTACAGGCCACTGGCATTAACCAGGCCGTTGCCAGGATGCCTGCAACCTAACGAGATCAAAAAATCTACAGATGCCCACGGCCAACCCTGCAAACTTCCAGGGTGAACTGTGTTGCAGCGGAAAGCTTTGCGCCAGTTCCTCTTATCTCACTGTTTGCGCTCTGCATGGTTGGGGCTTGCTTTAGCGATGCACACAACTCTGCAGCACTGCATGAGAATGAGGACAAGGTCCTAATCTGGCTTGCCTGGCCGCTCACCTCTGTGGTGCTCTGCATCGTGGTGCTTCTTGTCATCTTTTATTGCCAAGTGAGACTGCCCACTCAGAGCACTGGACAGCGCAAGAAGGCCGGCACTGCCCCCGAGGGGTGGAATTCCAGGAGGCTGAAGTCCTGAAGGGTGAGGCGTTAGGGGGACTGGGGGTCCATGACCGTGGGAGAGATGCTGAGCTTGCAACTGCTGCTGCTGTTGGTGGTGGCAGGAGAGGAGGAAGAGCAGGAGGAGGTGGTGGTGGCAGTGATGGTGGTGAAGACATGACAAGAGAGGATAGAGGAACAGAACAGGAGGTTGGACACACACAGAGGGGGCGAAGAAAGAGACAGAGGAAGGAAGGGGAAAAATGTCATTAGTGCTTTCAGTTCATCAGAAGCTTTCACCCACTCAGTTACCTCTCTTCACCTTCCCCAAACATAATCCTTCCATCTGCACAATCACTTGCCGGTACAACTCACCCCCTGAGTGGAGCTGTTTATTATTAGCCTGGCTAGCTAGGTTAGTAAGCATGCACATGTGAGTTAGTTCCATCTCTAAGTGCCTCTAGGGATGAAACCTAGTATGTCACCAAATCTAAGAGACCAAAGAGTTTAAGACTCCTTCTGATTTCAGAGAGGCCCAAATGGGGCAAAGGACAGTGATATGCATCCTACAACACAGTAACCATCCTGTCTACCAATTATCAGGTGACTCCACTTGACCCCCTACATTCTTGCATCAACTTAACCACCACAGTACAATGAGACAAAACCAAAATATTAACTTTAACAAACTGACTTCAGAAAAGAAGAACTAGCACCCCGTGTCCCTGTGCACCACCCAGGCAGTGTGTCCTTGTGTCATCAAGCCTCTCAGAACAGCGAGGAAGTGCTGGTGTTCCCATTTCCCAGAAGGAACAAAGGCTCAAAGGCCTGCAGCACATTGCTGATGTCCTCCCCCGAGGCAGGAAGGGCTGCAGCCACTGCAGGAATGACCTCAGGGCTGGCTGCTCTCTAGGCCCCATACCACCACTGACAAGCGAGGTGGTCTCAGGCAGCCGGGCTTGTGACTGGAAGGAACCTCAGAGATAACACTCTGTCTATCCTTTCCCTTCTCCTAAGCCCCAAACCTCAACACACACACACACACACACACTATTTTACAGGTGAAAATACCGAGACGCAGGGAGGGTAGGAGCCTGAGAGAGGAAAGCACCTTCCACCAGCTATGTGGGACTCCATCAACGGGGTCCAGGCCCATTCCCAAATGCCTTTTCCACTACCCACCTTGCCTCCCTAATTAACCCATTCCACAAGTTACAAATCTGTTCACATGAAACAACGTCATTGCTCTCAAAAGCATGCCGTATGAAACAAAAAAGCATCCAAGAAAGGGCCTCTGCACCATAAATCTGGCCACATTTCAGCTGTCCAACATTAAAACTCGTTTTTGATGAAACAGTAAAAATGATTAAAGCTCAATTTCTAAGGTATAACGTTAGAAAATTCTTAAGATTCTGATTTGTGCTCACTTCCCTGGGACTCAATCACTGGTTTTATTTATTACCCCCTTGCTTGTACTGAATATATTAAATCTTCACGCCAGGTCTTCAGTAATTCCCACCCAGACCACTGATTTTTAACTGAATCCCAAACATGCTTCCCACCCTCAAGAGTAAGAGAAAACAGCACCTTAAAACGAGAAATTCGTGTCTGCCATAATTTTACAGTACATTTTGAACCACTCCTAGCATCTTTAAAAAAATCTTTATGAGCCAACCTTCTTTTTAAACTTCAATTCCTTCCAAAGACAGCGTAGTTGTAATTAGAGGGAACATGAAAAAGGAGGTGAGGTCAGAGCGGGCAGCGTTTGTAGCATTCTTGAAAAGTATCTGTAAACTACTCATTCCCCATCTGATATCATAATAACAATTTCTTTACGCATAAGATCACCTTCCTGTCATCCCAGAGACACTAATTCTTGCTCTGTCACCTTTTAAGAGCTCGGCAATGGTGAGACATAAAACTGAAGAAGCTGGCAGCGGCCTCACGGTCCACTAGGCATGCTCATTAGCACTTAATTAGGAACTAGACACCTGCCGTAAGAAATGTGCTCGGAGGAGGATGAGGACCAGGTCTGCCCTACCAGCAATTACTATCATCACATGGAGAGTAAGAGCTATGTCCGGCTTCTGGGGGAAACGCAGTGATGCATACACAAGCAAGTGCAGTGGGGTAATTAAGCACAGCACTGATTAAAAGGAGATGAGAGAGGCTAAGCAGAAGGGAAGGAGCTTAACTACAGGGTGGAAGACACCACCCTTTCATCCCTCGCTGCATCCCCCACTCCCTAAAGTATCCAGAATGGCGACAATCAAAGATGATCTCAGAGGTTGAATTTTACAGCAGACCAAACACACACTCCAGTAACATTTGGATACAGAAGAAGGAAGTAGAGATTTTTTCCTTCCAAAACCCAAGTTAGCTTTTGGAAATGAAATAGAAGGCAGATTTTGAAGTATTATTGAAAAGAGGGGCTAGCTTACATGATAACGGGGCTTTGCCACAGCTGTGAAGTCGACCTATGTGGTCAAAGGCGACAGTTAGACCGGAAACCATCAACAGCCTGCCTGGCCAAGGAAAACTCCCACTCTTAGCCAGCTCTGGCTTTCCAGGCCCCTTGAAGAAATAGCTCAGTTATCACAGGTAGTTGGGTTCTTCCATCCTTAGCTTGGCCATCTTGAAAGATCCTTTTTTTTAATGAAAATCCTATAAAACTGCAAGGAGTACTAGGAGCAGTCAGATGGACCACACAGTTAAGATGCTGTGGTTCCAGGAAATGTGGACCCACTCCCTCACAATATGCTTCTCAATCCTGCCAGGCAGTGCTCCCAGATAATATTTCCATGTCCACTGCCCAGCCTGGGCTCAGGACACACCTGAGGCAGGGAGGGTAAGCATCAGAGCTCCCATTTCACAAAGTCAGAAAGAGAGCTACAATCCTTCTGTCCCCTTGAACAGCATTTCTCCTGTAACCCCAGCAGCCCAGCCATGTTCCCAAACACAAGGAAGAAACAGGGCAATCTCTTTCTCCACTGAAGACTTCACATCTCTCCCTGTCCAGCTAACAAGATGCCGGTGGAGAACATGCCAGACCGCATCACCCAGAGACCAGTCCACCTTCAACACCCATCCTTAGTGGCAGTGACAAACAGCAGTTTGTTCATAGATTTCATGAGTACCACCTTTGTCCCCACTTCTCAATGCTAGTCCCTACTTCTGAAAAAGGAGGATGTCATTTGCTGCCAGCTCTCGCCAAGTAAACTGGTAAAGAAGAATCAAGCCTAAACAGAGATGGCTCTGGCTTTGCTCAGAAGCAGAAGCTTAACATTAAAAATAAAGTTATTTTGAAGAGAAACATTTATTTAAATGAACAGAAGGCTGATATCTGTAAAACAGTTAACTTCAAAAGGGCAGCCCACCCCTGCCCCATCTGACCTTGGAAAAACGTTTTCTCTCAAAAAGGCTCACCTGAGACAAATTGGTACCCATCACCTTCCCCCAAAGGAAAAAGTGTGAATGCTACTTAAAGAATATACTTTACGACAAAAGTGATACTGACATTGCTGTTCAGCCAAAAACCCAATGGCCCTGCCCACTGGGGGAATTTACATGCATCTGTCCTCTATAAACCAAAACCCGCACCTATCAGTTGGAAAACTAAGAGATGTTTTGTAACACGACTGCAAGGGTGGGAATATGCTATCCAGTCATCAGTGTATAATAATTAGGAAACTTTTCTAAAGTTGATGCTTACAGATTTATACAACACAGAACACACAAACAAAACAGCTTGTCAATGGGCCGGCCCAGTGGCACTCGGATCCCATGTGCAGACCGGTTCCCGCTCACTGGCTGAGCGTGGTGCGGGCGCAACACCGAGGGTTGTGATCCCGTTGCCGGTCCCCGGTACGGGCGCGACACCGAGGGTTGCGATCCCGTTACCGGTCAGTAAAAAAAAGACAAAAAGGCAAAATAGCTTGTCAAGCTATCAGGAAAGGCATTTTTTTTTTTTTTTTTTGGTCCTTTTTGAGACCGGCTGCACCACGCTCAGCCAGTGAGTGCTGTGAGCACACCGGTCATCCCCATATAGGATCCGAACCCGCGGCGGGAGCGCTGCTGCACTCCCAGCGCCACTGAGCAGTAGTGCTTCTTAGCAATACAGCTGGTTTCTCGGGCTACCAATGTAGAATAGTGATTCTCAAATGGATCAATTTTGACACCCCTTCCCTGCTCTGCCCCAGGGACATCTGGCACTGACTGTCTAAAGACATTTATGGTTGTCACACCTGGAGGTGAAGGGGGTGTAGAGTGATGCCAGCCTCTAGCGGGTAGAAGCTGCGGATGCTGTTAAACATCCTCCTGTGCACAGGACAGCGGTCTACCACCCAGAATTATCCAGCCCAAAGTGTCAACAGTGCTGAGGCTGAGAAACTCTAGTGTAGATCTAAGCTGGGATTCTGTCCCATTACATCAGAATTCACGTTCTTGTATGACAAGCCACTTGCCAAGTCGTTTAAAAAATAAAAATACTTTTCAGCATTCAAGCATTCACTGTCCCTTCATCGCCATCCGAGTACGCTGTCACGACGCAAAAAATGAACATCTGCTTTCTAAAGCTGATTCTGCTAACAATTTCAAAATAAAACAAAACCAAAAAAAAAAAAAGGAAACTCATATTTTATAAAACAATTTGGGAAAGAGCTACATTGGGAGCTTTTACATATTGGCGTTCTGGTGCCTTGAGGGCAATTACGGAAAGGTTTAGGTTTGAAGATAAAGAAATAAATGTGCTTGCTCTAACCCAAACAATTTGAACAGCCTGAGAGTGAAATAAGTAAAACAAACAGCAAACCCTGAGTTAATGATACCAAAAACCTACAAGGAATGAAGTAACCTCATCCATGTCAAATAACAGCCACGCACTTAGAATTTTAATTCACATTTTACTCAGTGCAGCTTGAGTCAAATATGTTCCTATAATGAAACTGACTTTGCTGCTTACAGTCAAAGTTTTAATGTAATGCTGTAGTGGTTTCTACATTTTTTTTGTGTAAAACATGGGTGTAGCACATTGTTCATCACCACAGAACTGCAAATACAATTAGAAAGAACACTCTGAAAATAAAGGCCGACGCCTGCCTTTTCCTCACT